AACAACTTATATCACTAGCTTGTCATAGCCTGTTACCTTGCACTGGTTTAACAACTTATATTACTAACTTGTCATAGCCTGTTACCTTGCTCTGGTTTAACAACTTGTATCACTAACTTGTCATAACCTGTTACCTTGCACTGGTTTAACAACTTATATCACTAACTTGTCATAGCCTGTTACCGTTTAATTTTAAACATTCAAATCTTGTAATCTCATATTTAAAAATCGGTTAAGTTTTTCATGTATTTTTTATCAATTCTCAATTTATTTGCAATAAAGAACTATAACTCACCACAGTTTAAGTTTCCAACTCAAAAAAATGTTAATTGTAACAGTGTCTTTAGCCGATAAGACCAAGAATACCCAAAATGATGATTTTCTTATAGCTTCAAATATTGCTAATATAAACAGTTACAAGCCCCACATCCACCAAGAAATATTTATGTGATACACTTATCACACACATACAGAAATAAGCAAATTCTTATAAAAACTAAAAAATATATATTCTTTTTAATATTTTGGAAAAAGTAATTGACAAGCTAGTGATATAAGTTGTTAAACCAGTGCAAGGTAACAGGCTATGACAAGTTAGTGATATAAGTTGTTAAACCAGTGCAAGGTAACAGGCTATGACAAGTTAGTGATATTGGTTGTTAAACCAGTGCAAGGTAACAGGCTATGACAAGTTAGTGATATTGGTTGTTAAACCAGTGCAAGTAACTAATGAAATTAGTATCACTTAATTTTTACTTTTCACAAGCTTAGCAAAAAAACTCAAAAACCCATTTTTTTATGAACTTTCAGGAAGCTGTTTACATTGTTGTAAACACAGTCAGGAATAATATTTCCATTCCATAGATTTCTCGGGAACCTCTGAGTTTTTCTTTTAATTTGTATGAGACAGTGGTTCTTTGTTTATAAGTTTCAACTTAGTGCAGTCATTAAGAATGTCAAGCATTTTTTTTTATCCTAGTCAGCTTTGTTGAGAATAACAACTTTGTTTCCTTTATAAGGTTGGATGAAGATGATATTTTTGTTACGGGTTTCAGATTTGATGATATCCTATGTGTGTATTATAGTTATAGTAGGTGGAGAATGCTAAGATTTTTAACTGAGTAATAAACAATTCCTGTGCTGGCTCAGAAGTACTCTTGGTAAAAATTATATGTTCTGATACAAGGAATAGAAGTAATTATGTTTTGAGGAGGATATAGAGAAACTCAGTCCTTTGGCTAGTGCCGTTTTGAGGAGGGTATGGAG